AAAAAAAAAAAGATCGTGCATAAATCCCTTATCACAGTGGGAAACTAAGACCCATAGAAAAGAAGTGAGTGGCCCAAGACACTCAGCAAGCTGGTATATATGCTGAAATTAGACTCCAGTTCTCCTGAAACTAAGTTCATTCATTTATTGGACAGGCACTATGCTAGTTGCTAAAGATACAGTATGACAAACAAACAAATAAAAAAACTCAAAGTTCCTGCAAGCATAGGAGTTATATTTTCCAATGTATGTTTAAACAGATTATGAATGAAAAAATTTAAAAATTTACTCAATGTACATTTTAATGGCTGCTAGGGAGACTGAATCATTTGCAAGAAAGAAAACAAGAGTACCATTAAGAGGGTACCACAGGTATTCAGGGAACCCAGGAAGTGCAGTAGTTAAGCAGCTGACTGCTAACCAGAAGATTGATAATATATATCTACCAGCTGATTTGTGGGGAATAGATATGGTAGTTTGCTTCTGTAAACTCTATGGGGGAAGTTTTACTCTGTCTTACAAGGTTGCTGTGATTTCAGTTGACTTGACAGTAAGGAGTATACTTTGTATATAGAGGCAATGGAAATTGTCGATCAGTTAAACAAAGGTAATGGAAATGGTTGATTGGTTAGGTGTGTGGTCATAGGAAAATCAAGAGTAATTCCAAAATTTCTGACTTCAGCAACAGAATGATCTATACTGCTAATTATTCAACGGAGGAAACTAGAAGTACAACAGATTGATAAGTATGGAATCAAAAGTTATATTTTGTCCATTTGAAATATCTATGTGTAGCCCAAGAAGAGGTATTGAGAAAGTGAGTTTGAATTGTGAATAGAAGCGAGATGATCAGTTTTACTGATATAAATTTAGTAAGCATTATTAGCATTCAAATAATATATAAAACAATGAGAATGAATGAGATCACTCTGGAGACGATACATTCAAAATAGGGAGTTTACAGACAAGCCCTGGGACATTTCCAGAAAAAGAAAACTAGCTAAGGAAACTGACATGGAATGCTTAATGAGGTCAAAGAAGAATTTGGTGTCCTGAAAGCCAAGTGATAAATTGTTCAAGGAGGAACTAGCTAATTGTACCAAATACTACTGAGAATTTGAGATGATGAAGATACTGGAGTGGCCATTTGATTTGGCTATATGGAGATGACTGGTAACCTTAACAAGGTTTCAATGGAATTGTGACAGGCAAAAACCCATTTAGACTGAATACCATCTTCATCTGAACAATTATTCAATTGAATGTCATTTCCTTATTTGCGTATCGAGTGCTCTCAATTTTTTGAAACCAGAGACTTTGACTTAATTATACCCAGTACAATACCTGATACATAGGTATTCAATCCATGTTAGCCAAATTTGAATGTAATGTATCAGACTATTAAGAAAGCACCTTTTTATGTGGCACAGATCTATGAACATCTTGAATACTCAGCTTGCCTTCTGAGAGCTCATGACAACTTATTTACAAGCTCATTTCTACCCTATCTACCTCCGAGGAACAATTCCCTATCTGGGAACTGTCATGTTTTGATTCCCTGGCTGCTTTTAAAGAGTCAGGAAAGTGCTTTCAGATTTAGAAAATGGCTACGCTCCTATGTAAGCCTTTCAATATCCTCCTTGTGTCTAATTATCATCCAGATGCTAAGAATAAACTCAGTGCTGACCTTCACTTTCATCCAAGGAAGAAGTATAAAATAATGTCCTTTCCCGTAGCAAGCGCTTTGAAATTGTGATTGGTTTATGTCTTCTTGCCATCACCCTTGGTGGAGGGACTGGAGGTGCAGTGTTTTCCTCAGGTGGACCTGAACAGATCTGTGGAAGAGAAAGATAAATATAGAGGAAACAATTAGATCAAGTTTTTATTTCCCTAGTGCTACCTACCAGATAAATGTACAACTAAAGGAATTGGAGGGTTTTCTGAATCGCTATAATTACCAACAAGTGTTTGGAGACCAACTACCGTTCTGGAGGCACAGGACATGGAGCTTCCCAGTGTGGAGGAAATGACGTAGACAGCTGACAGCATCATTAGTCCTTGATTTTCTACTTACTGTCTAGGAATCCTTAGGCAAGCTATTCCCTTCTCTGAACCCCTGCTTCCTCATTTGTAACATGGAGACAGGCAAAATCTACCTCACAGGGAACCAAGTGAAAAGAGTGGTTGAGGTGCTTTGTTTTAGTGGAAAGTGATGGTACAGAAAGAGATTAAACACACTCACAAGCACATAAACACTTTCAATATATGAGGGGTGGTACCCACCAAAACGGATATTTTTTTCAAAGCTATGTATTGACATTAAAAAAAAACCCAACATTATCACCTTCAAAGTACTCTCCATTATACTTAATATATTTATCAAATCTATGATTCCATTCCTGGAAACATTTTTAAAACTCATCTGTTTGAATGGCTGATAGCACCTCCCCTTTTTTTCTTCACCTCCTCTAAGTCATCAAATTGCTGTCCTTTCTTGTCCTCCTTCATTCACAAAAACAAAAAGAAGTCACACAGAGTGAGGTCAGGTGGGTAAAGTGCATGTGGCGAGAGAGGCATGCTGTTTTTTGCCATAAACTGGCACACTGAGAAGGCTGCATGGGCAGGTGCACTGTTGTGGTGGCAAAACCAGTCCCCCATCTGCCACAAATAAGGCCTATTTTTTGTAGCACACTGTTACACAATCTTTTCAGCATCTTTAAATAGAAAGGTTGATTGACAGTCTGGTGGAATGAACTCCAGATACAATACAAGTCTATATTTTCATCTGTTTGGAAAGTTGACAGATGTCTAAAATAAGGTTTGTCATCAATCGGCATATCATCTTTTTTAAGATGGGAAAACCACTCATAAACTTGAGATTTTCCTACAGCGCTATCCTTGTAAGCTTTGTTCAACATCACAACAGTTTTGGCGGCATTTTTCCTGAACAGGAAACAAATTTTCACAGCTGCATGCTGTTCACTTATATCGGTCATCACAAGAAAACAAGGTTTAAGTGAAACTGCTTTTAGGAAAAAATTCAATGTGCCCAGAAAGAACCTTCCCAGGCAACACCACTCGCTGCACTAACTCAGAGTGAGTTGCTCGATGCTCACCTAATGGGAAAAAAATATTATTATGAAAGCTCCGCTCTGCTCAGCGCAATTCCAGTTTTTTGGGGTACCCCCTCATATCTAGAAGAATACAAAGAAACTGGGTACATTGTTTGATCCAAGGCAGGAATAAAGAGTTTCCCCCTACTATCAGGATCCCAATTCTACCTTACAACTCTGGCTAGACCAAAGCATGTACACTGGTACAGATAAGAACTGGAAACACAGGAATCCAGGATAGATGATCCCTTCAGGACCAGTGGTGAGAGTGGTGATACCAGGAGGGTGGAGGGAGGGAAGGTGAGGTAGAAAGAGGGAACCGATTACAAGGATCCCTCATTCCTATTATACGGTTCTCTCCTCACACATATATGCTAATCAGTATTCTATTAAATCCTTTAGATGGAACTGTACAGATCACCTGCTCTCTCTCTATCTGTCCCTCACTGGCACCGTCCCTGCCTCCCGCCTTCATGCAACATTTATACAGTCCTTGCTTGTCTCCTCAGTTATGGAAGCTTCAGGACTATGTGGTTTATGTTGACTCTATCCTGATAAAATTAGGGTTGATTTAGCTTACTGAGCAGTGATCCACTCTTCCCTCAGCAGATTTTTTAGTCTTCTCAAAGTATCTACACTCTGCTTAAAAGATCACTCTCTTCATAGAGGAAGATCTTCACATACATATAAGGTTCTAAATATAAATTTTAATCACAGTTGCTCCCTCACTCCTCCAACACTTGTGATAGTGTCCAAGACACTTTCGTTTTGTTTATCTATTTTACTTTGATTTAATTTCAATAAGTAATGTACACACTATGAGAATGAAAAAGCTATAGGAAGGAAAAATAAGTTGGTCTTTGTTTCCCTAGTCACTCTTTTTATTTATTTATTTGCTCAATGTTTTTTATTTTTTATTTTATTTTTTAAATCATATTATTGGTACTCATACAACTCTTATCACAATATGTACGTACATCCATTGTGTATCAGGCACATTTGTACTTTTTAAATTTTTTAATTTTATTCATTTATTTTTTTAAAAACATTTTTATTAGGGGCTCATACAACTCT